CCGAGTCCGGGCGCCAAAAGGAGGGCGCGCCCAGCCGTGACTGGCGGGCCGCTGCACTCCCGGGGCCGCCAGCGATGGCTTGAGAGAGAATAGCGGTGCTTCACTGCGGCCTGTTCGGTCTGTGGGCCCTCAGCTGCTGCACAGGGCGAGGGCAGCGTTTCAGGAGTCACATCAGTAACGACAGCGGAAGGCTGAAAGTTGGCAAAGGCAAGCTCCAACACAGACCCGCCGCCCGCAGTTTATGAGGTCTGGTCCTGGTTCAGGCATGAGGCTCCTGTGGCCTTAGGTAAATGGCTTCGTCTATTTCAAAGGGCGGGTAAGTTACTCTGAGAGGTATTCAGTAAGGTGAAACTGACAAATGCAGTATCACAGTTTGGGAAAACAGATAATTACCATACCACCTCTCCCCCCCCCCAAAAAAAAAATGCTTTTTGGCATCAAGAAGGAACACCGTTCTTCTCTGATGCCCTCTGTCACACGTGGAAGTGTAGGAGATCCCTCTCCAGTCACCAGAAGGGTGGAAGGGACAATGTCCATGCCAACCTGCTGTTGAGATCCAAGCTGATCCTAGGGAGCTGTTGATTTCTATTCCCAGATCACGTCCAAGATCTGTTTGTACAACTCCCTCCATGGCTCCTTAATGCATGATACTGGCCGTGGGGAACTGTGGAGGGACTGGGACAGCACTTCTAAGTTTTCCCAGTATGGCTGGAGGTGCACCACCAATGAAAATGATTACTCAACAAAAACCCTTAGAGGGAACTGGAATGAAGAGCGATACGATATCCAGAGAATTGTGCAGCCCAAGCCACTTCCTTCCCAGGTATGTCCTTGTGCTTTTCCTTATTGTGGATATAGCAAGTCTCAGTGGAGATGATCACTGGTCACTTAATTTGTCATGCACAAGGGCATTATCCTTTCCAGCCCCAGCTACGAATACACTGGAGGTAAGCCTCCCGTGAGTAGCTTCCCTTCCTGCAGCCCTGCTCCTAGTCTTTTCTACTGTTTTTTAAAAATGCAGAAAGGCAACCGTCAGCACCCTTATCTCTGATGAGTGCCCTACAACAGTCCCACTACAGGAGTAAAGCTGTGAGGAAGAGTGCTTTTTTGTTTAAACTCAGTCTTGCTCCTTGTAACAGTGGCCCCAGTCCAGCTCTGTTTCCTTTGCTGTTCAGATGGTGAATCAAAAGTCATCACCGAAGCTTTGTGATCTTAGGTTTGACTGACTTGAAAGTAGTAGTGCAATTGCAGGTACTTTGGTCTTCCTGTAAGATATAAAATGTTTCATTTTTTTACTTATATTTAGCCATGCTAAATGTGAGTTTTTCATTTCAGTATACTCACTGCTTTGAAACAACATCTCTTCAGATTACAAGGGAAAGCGTCGGAGAATAAAAAGTACATGCACAGAACTAAAATGTAGTCTGTTGGATCTGTAGTGTAGCTAAAGAAGAGCTTCTGAATGACACTTGTGCTTAGAGATGACAGAATTGTTTTCTGTCGGTTTCTCATTGTAGAGTTGTGCTCCTGTGCCGCCACAGAACAGGTATTTCGAGTCATTCAGGAAGTGGTATTTGCATTTCAAGTGTTCTTGTCTAGCTAACCTCACACCTATACCCAAGGAGCTTTCACTCAAAATTCCCATTTCTTGCTCCCGAGTTTGAGCCTAACAAAACCCTCCTCTATAGAAAAGATTTCCCTCAGTTGTATTTTCTGGATATAGTCTTACTATTTTGCACTTACTTCCTTGAGTTGTTTTGTGTTTATTCTTTTAGGATTTGAACCAGACCTCATTGGTTTCCAGGCTACCACCCTGAGCTGGAACTTCCTTCATTCAATTGAACTGCTCAGTCCTGCTCCACAATAGACTACAGGCCTCCATATAGCAGCCTTTTCTTTGCTTGTGTCCAACACTCAGAGAAGGAACAAGAAGGATGAAGGAAAAGCAACAGAGATGGAGAGAATCTGCAGACTATGCCTTCAGAAAAACAGGAGGCCTGTCTGCTAGCAGTGCTACAAGGATATCCTTCAAGCAAAAAGACCTGTCACACATTAAAGCCAAATGTATCATCCTGTGAAAAACGTTCTTCCTGCTTTCTAAGCTGTATTGTTTGTAACCTACATGTGTTTCTGTCATTTGTCTTGTGTACAGAGGTCACCCTGCGCCTTCTCAGTCAAGCCCAACTAACACCTTAACTGCAAGAGCTTATTAGAATCAGCTAATAGGAAACACTAGACCTTGGCAATTAGGTAGGATTTGCAGTATTTGACAATGACCCCACATCACTGAGTGCTCATTTTATTTTCCTCACTTAAAACCATGGAAGAAGGATGCCCTCTCAGTTCATTTGAGATTTAAACTGATCCCTTCTGATACAACTTTTGTCTTAGCAGCTATAAGGAACATAGAAAATAGGTCAGGTCATAACTGAGTCTGATGATCTGTACAACAGATCTATGGCATTCTGTCCTTTTTGGAGATGAATTTTAGAAATTCAGTTCCAGTAATACAGACTTTCATTTATGCTCATATCCCTTTGAAGAGAGGTGCTAAGCAGATGATGACACCTGAGAAGGACTTAATAGTGTTTTGTACCGCTCAACAATGTTAGCATAAATCAGATTAATACTGTAGATGTCAGATCCTGTTCATCGTTTGCAGGGCACTGACAACATATAGTTTCAAAGTGATGTGATTTGCACCGTGAGAGCAGGACGTTTTTCTCCTCTCTGGATATATCTGTGTTTACTGCAGCTATGCAGTTTTCATCTGCAACTGCTCTGAATTGGTTGCAGCACTTGGATGCTTCTCCATAACATGAGTCATTCTAGAGATTTAAGATACAATTGTCTTCCATTCAGTTGTTATCTAATACCCACACTTCAAATGGGTTTTGATTGTCATGAACTTGTTTTACCAGTCTAATCTCCACTGGAAAAACTTTTCTGTTGCTTGTGAAACACTCTGAAATCCTCTGGCAACACTGAAGGCAAAGGCTCATGCAATTAGATGTTTGCAAAACATTAGAGTACACGAAGTGAAACTAGCAAAGTGTTTCTGAACACCAGGACAAGCTTTCCTGGACACACCTGCCACTCAAGCTGTAAGGAAGAACGATGCCAGGTATATTTCCCTGCACAGCAACCTTATACAGCTTTCTTGACCCAAAACTTCCCTTGTCCTCAGTGCTCAAAACAAAAAAATACAAACTGCTTATTCATGTTTTATTTGTTAGTAAACTTACTCAGCATAAATAATAAGAGTAGCCATTCACTATAGCTGGCATCTGATGAAAAGTGCTCTTGAATGGCCCCCCAGGGTGACTTTAAATAGCAGCCTACTTCCTTTGGGCTCCTGCAATGGCAGGCTTCTCTTCACGGGTGATAGGGATAGTGCGCTCAGGGACGTCACTTTGTTTCCTCGGTGCGCTCACCGTCAGGACGCCATCCAGAGAGAGTGATGAGGTTATGGTCAGAGGGTCCACATCATCTGGAATCCTGTATTTCCTGTTGAACTCCCTGGCAATAAAGCCATGCTCATCCTTCAAAAGGAGAAGAGAAGGAACAGCCCTGATTAGAAATGTTGACTCAGTTCCACCTAAACCATGGGCCCTTTGCATAAAGTCTGAGATCAGGAAGCTCCAGCTCTCAAAGGATAACTTTTCAGAAAGTTAAAAGAGGTTTTTATTATGAGATGCCCTTTTTAAAGAGCCAAGACTGGCCGAAGTGAGACAGTGCCCTGCCTAGGCTGCAGTGCCTGCAGGTACACTGTTTACAGGAGGAGGCTTTATGTTCCAGCTCTTGTGCCAGCCAGAGACTGGCTTCATTGCACAGTGATGTGCTCTCATTCCTAAGATGCAGCAGCTAGACCTACATGCAGTGCCAACCACGCCTGTTCCTGAGGGTCTCCAGAGGTCTAGTAATACACAGCTTTCTAGTGAGCTGATCTCTGCTATAGTGCTTGATTATTTTATTAGCCAAAAAAATTGACAGAAGCTGTGTCAGGATTACAGGCTTCCACCAGCTACAAGTAATGCTGTATTTCCTGGCTGACAGAAGCTCTTAGAGCTGAAAATTCCAGTGACATAGCTACTTTATCATGCGGACTCATTTCCTTCTGGCAAGGAGGTGAGGGTGGGGGGTGGGAGGGATCGGGGGAATGGAAAACCCTGTTACATACAGCTTTGGACATGGCTTTTGACTTCTGTCTGCCCAGTTGCCACACAGGTCTCCAGAGCCAGCAACCAGTGGGATGACTGACAGCAGAACACAGCCTTTAAGGATTACAAACTGCCAGGTGGGCCTTTTCCAGGAAGAGGTAGCCTCATGGTAATGGAATAGGGCAATGCACTGATTCATTATGTGATTTAATTATTACAGTTCGTTGTTAGCTTATTGAATGCCTCCCTGCATTCCTGGCCTTTTCCCAGAAAGAGGGAGGCCCAGAAATGCCCATTTCAAAGATGATTTTCCAGTTCAGTTCACAGTTCAGGTAACATCAGCAATAAATCTCCACTCTGTTGCTGCCCAGTCTGGGAACAGCTGGGGGTGGGGGGGGAGGAGTTGCACAGAGCATCTTCTATTAAGATTGGTTGATAAAAAACATTAGAAGAATTTGAGATGAGCACAGGAGAGGATTGTTTTGCAGTCTCCTTGTTTAACCATAGATGAGGAAGTTCACACTGACTCTATCAGTTGCATAGTTAAAGCAGAAGTACCTGGCGCTCCTCGTGTTTCCCATGAATTTCTATCATGTCCCCAAGCACCTTCACTTTTAGCTCCTCAGGGGAGAAATGCTTCACATCAAGATTTACTGAAAATTTGTCCTTCTCCAGTCGCATCTGCAAAACAAGGACGTGACTTCAGAAAAGAGCAGGTGAGGGTTTCAGCTTAAAACGTCTCTCAGAATATAGCAGTTCAAGACTCAAACTGCTATCTACACATGCACTGTCTGACCCTCATTCGATCCTGGGATTCTGATCTGGGTGGACTTGTCCCTTGCTGGCCTGTTACATTAATACCCATCACTACGGTATCTAAAATGTGAATGCTTTCTCTTGATCACATGGGATAAATGTTTTCCTTGGGAGTGACGAACTGATTCTCTTAATCTGAATTTGTTCAAACTGACTCTTTAGTTGGCGTACAGGTTTTGCATCCAGTTCTTTTTACAGAATGTCTGGAGGTTTCCCATTTCTGTGACTGGATTTTGCAGTCTTTCAAGCAAAAGAAACCTTGACTGTGCAGCTGACTGCAGCTCATCTGCAGGCTTGCAGGCTTTCCCCTGCATTGTCACTCTTTAGTAACCAAAATAGTGTGTCACTGGTGAGCCCTACTGCCTCACTGCTCACTTCTGTTATCTGAGCATCAGGACTTCTGCCAGAACTCTGAGTCACCTGCTGCTAATCTCACCTCCTTGCCTTCCATTTTGCACTTTATCACCTCTAACAAATACTGCTTTTTGCTGCTTCCTGAGGTTGAATTTGCATTTTCTGTCTGTCTTGGACATGTTTGTGGGACTGTGCTATATGGGCTGGGTGTCTCTGTCTTTCTGCTGCATTCGTGGTCAGGGAGCTTGTCAGCCTCCTGGAGCTCTGCTCTGGGATGTGGAGGCAGCCTCTGTGCCAGCTCTAGGCTTACTGGTTTCCGCAGTTTGACCTCGGAGTCTAAGTGCTTCCTCCTCCTTCTAGATTATTTGTGAAGATTTCTCCAATGAGATAGTCAGACGTTGTTATCTGTGGTGCTTATTATGGCTGCTTCAGTGGACAGCCAGACCCAGGTCACTAAATCAAGGGAAACATTACGCAAAGATTAAAAAAATACTTTCCTCTCGCTCCTGTGGCTTAGAATAGCTCTACAAGCTATTTGTAAATAAGACAGTTGACTTGCAGAACAGGCAAGGTTGTTTGAACTGTGTGCCTCTTGGCTTAGCCCCTGAAGCAAGCAGACGGCTGCTTCATGATCCTTTGGGTCCTGTATCTTACTTAAAATGCTCTTCTCCTCAGCAATGACTTTTTCCTCAGCAACTGTGAGCTCCCACACTGCCTGACATGAGGATCCCACTACCCCTGCCCACTACCCCGTGCTGTTTGCTTCTCAGGAGGGAGTGGGATTGAAAGTTTTGCTGAGCAGACAGGGAAATTAGGCTTCCTCCTTTCTCCCGTCAGCTCTTACAGTCATTTCTCGCACACGCTCAGCTCAGTTTGCCTCTATTCCTAACACTATGGCAATACTTGCTCCCAGTCACAAATGATTAGCAGAGCACGCAGAGGTTCTTGCCTAATGCAGAGGAGCAGAGGCACAAACACAGCACCCTTTTCCCCAGCGTTTTCCTAATAACCACCTACAAGCAGCTTCCAAGCTCTCAGCTCTCGTGGGTCTCCAGCTCCAGACCCATCAGGATGTGCACACAGCGATAACAAAGAGCATTAAGAAGGGAAGATTACCTCAGAGAGTCCCGTCTCTAGCCAACTGGGCAGCCGAAGAATGGGGGATCTCATCAGGAAAGGACTGAGGCTGGGGGAAGCAGGGAGCAGCTCTGACTCCTGCAGGTGCTCCCCGAAAATCTGGTCAAAGATACGACTCGGTGCCAACCAAGAAAACAGTGGTCTGCGGATCAGAGGGTTATGAATGGTGATATCCATTGGAGTGCGCTGGAGGAGCCTGGCAAACAACTGTGCTGCAGTGCTGTGCCGGGAGCGGGGGACAGCTTTATACCCGTGCAGCTGGCCTGGCCTTCCCCCCCGCCCGAGGCCTCTTGAACAGTGGTGTCAGGGATTTTATTGTCCCACTCCTGGGCTGGTCCCTTCAGCGGTGCCCAGTAGCTGTCTCGGGGATTTGAACACGCTTCTGAGGAGGAGGGGGAAGGGGAGAAGAAGAAAAGGAGCCTAATGGGGCAGCAAGAAGCCAAACTGCCCAGCCGCCCGCCCCACTCCCCACGTGCTGTTTATCTGCAGAGTCCCAGGCAGGCTTGGCGGATGTTCCCAGCTGCTTTGGATGCCAGCAGGATCAATGCAGCTCCTATCTTTGGCTCACAGGGAAAATGACAAGGGGCCATTGTTCCTACTGCCAGCACCGA